TTATTCAATGGACGATCGTGGCACTTTATATTGAGGTTGTATCCAATCAACTGGTAAATACTTTCATGCTTTCTCCACTTGATAATTTCAGCAGCAACTGTGGAGCTCAGAAATTAGCGAAGGTTGATGAGTGCTGTTAGTTTATCCAAGGGATCATTCATACAGTGTCACTCCTTTTAACTTCTGTTCTATCCACCAGATTGGAAAAATATACATAGGGAAAATCCCATTAATTGCATAACACTCACTACAGGTTTTAACTAAAGAATCAACTGAAATGAACCGGGTACCGTACTCGATTGTGGTTACTTGACCTCAGTTGCCTAGTTAGGTGAATTTGTGTCCACTGGGTAAAGATTTTGCCGGATTGTATGGTGTTTTCTATTTTTGGATACAAGTCTATTCGTTAAACACCGTAAATAAGTGACATCCCAAATACGGTTTTCGGAGACGTCTATCGAGTTGTACTGGGAGTGTGGCTGTGTTTCGTTTATTGCGTAGTCTCACATGCAGTTTGAGTCAAAGCCATAAGATCTCAGAACAGAGGATTATTTATATATGTATTTGAAGTAGTTACGAAATGACGGGAAAGTACCATTTCTACAGTCAAAAGTACACGGATTAAAAGCTACCCAATTTGCGGCGGGCACATTTCTCTAGATCAGTGCCATTAACAATGCTGTTGACTTCACCTAGGGTTGATCCGTAGTGTTTGACACGATGTCTCCCGAGAATTGGTATGCGAAACAGCGCAATGTGAATCGAGCCTTTGCGTGTGGGGTTGAGCCTGCCAACTGATAGGAGATTCTAATCCAGGAGAGCGGGTAACAAGCTGCGAAAACGATACAATCCGAGCAGCATGACCTAAACAGTTCAATGAGATATAAGCACGTACACACACGCACACACACACACCACTCCGAGTGCACACACTGGGTGAGCCACAGGACTCTAGAGTAATATGTTGCCCTATTGTTATCTTTGATCAAATGGTTGATGTAGCGATGTGCCATTTAGATATACGAAGAGAAAGTTGGGTGCAAAACCAAAATCCTCAACTTTATTTATTTGACAGATAATTCTGAGCGGAAAAGTAGAGTAGAGTAGAGTGATGATTTAATGTCAATTGACAAATCAGTCCGAGATTTGTTACAAATCCAAAACTGAATGGAACAGTTCGAATACAATCGGTAGAGTTGAATCTACAGGCTCGAAAAGAAATATTCCGGATGATATGCAATTCGCCGTGATGTTATTTTGTGTATGCTTGTCCATTGTCTGCCTCTCCAGGCTCTCTTTGTATGAGAATGGGCTGGACAAGGATTGGGCTTAACGCCATGTGGACGTAGATTAGAGAAGCTAAAAGATATTGTAGAAAAGGGTATTCGAGAAGACATTTCTATTTTCGATATATCGCATCAGGCGCTCACATATATAAGGTGATCATAATACAGATGTCGGATTGGACGATCAGAGCTCAGTTAGTAACGCTGACAGGGGCGAGCAAACAGATCAACCGAATATGACAAGGCTAATGGTAGTCGTGGATGGGGGTGAGAACACAAAGGTCAAATGGACAAACGTTAGAGAGATGAGCAGATGAAATGAAGGTTGTGAGCTAAGACGAGAGAGCGGGATGAAGTTACGTAATATACGATAGTGACTATAGATCATGCACAGCAAGTGATGTAGTCAGGAAGGGGCATTAGAGGCAAAATCAAGATAATTAGTTCTTGAGATTGAGATTGGTGATACTATAGAGGAGGAAAGTGTTGGAGAGGGGGGGCGATTGATGCTCTGTTGTATGCACAATCAATCCGCAGTCCAGGCCAGGGCAACAACAGTGTCGGGACCAAACATTTTTGCTTACACAATTCTGTATTGAAAATTCGAATTGCAATCGCCTCGGCCGAGGTTAAAAGCCGTCTTCATATCCCTTTGGAATATCTCCGGGGTATAGTGTGAATAATTTTGAATGCATTCATTTTGTTCTCAGAATGACCGCTATCGACGAGATGACCGAGAACCGAGCTGCGAATAGATCTAACCGTTCCTTTGTAGAGGGCCGCGGGGCAGTGCTCAGTAATACGTTTTGATAATCGCCTGGTCGCATGTCCAACGTATCGCACACTACAAGTGCACGTGAAAAGATATAAAACGAAAGATTTGGACTGAAGAGGCAAATTATCTTTAATTTGCTGGGACACCAAGGGCCGAGTGGTAGTGAAGATATACGGTTGAGCTGCAGGGTACGTTCTAGAGATCGCTTTGGACAAAAGTCCTTTAAGAAGTTCCAGGGCATCGTCGCCCTTAAACGGCACAGTTAGGAAAACGTTCTTGTGAGGAACGGTAGGGATTTTGCTCGTGTTGGTCAATATCCATAAAAGCTTCCGGGTTACCATTTGACCGAAGTACGTCATCAATAAAAACGTATCTAGGACTTCAGGGTATCCTCGCTGCAAATCGCACGCGCTCGGTATGATAAACATCTGACCAGGTTGCGTTTGTATTTCACGGGGACAAAGCTACAGAAATGCGTATACTGTTCAACCCACGTTGTTTTGCGGAAGACGCTTCTTTGGATGGTATCGTCGTCTCTCTTCGTTAATAACACATTTAAGAAGGGTAGCTGTCCACTTTTCTCCAGTTCGTAGGTGAAATGAATAGCGGAATGACACTTGTTGAATCCGTCGAGAAGCTGTGTGAGTCTGATGTGAGAATCGCAAACCATAAAAGCATCATCGAGGTATCTGCAATTAATGTCGAAATGTCGAATTGTATCTCTCAAATTTCCGTTCTCCAGTTCGGCTAGGAAAATATCTGCCAATATGGGACCTAATGGAGACCCCATGGCTACCCCGTCGAGTTTCTGTAGAACTGGTCATTGTACAAAACTAAATATTAAATGTACATCTGAGAATCAAGTCTTTCAATTTTTTCACCGGAATTTCGACTTGGATGTCGCTAGAAACTAGGAAGTCACAAGTATGATCAAGTGTCTCTATCAGCGGTACGTTTGTAAACAAGGATTCCACATCGAAGGACATCATAGTTTCGTTCGGGATGTAGTAGAATTAGCAACACCTCACATATTTACAAATGTGCTTGCATTGCGGTTACGCAACAACGGCTTCAAAACGGAAATGGAATCAATTGAAATCATTATTTATTTTCCTTTGTTATTGGCTAAACTTATCAAACTATTGATTGGTATCGATGCATAAATACTGGTAACTTGGATTAGAAATATGTCCTGCCTAATCCGAATATTTTCGATTACCACGCAGCGACAAGCGGTGACTCATCAAAAGATAGGTGGATATAAAAGAATTTTTATAGCATGTATTTACTGCATCTCCGAATTGATGAATATATAAATATCTCTATTCATCACCACAATACGAGGCAATTAAGTCTCCCCCTTGCGGCTGCACTTCATCACACAGAAATCAGTTTGGAGATATAACAGGCCAGCATCTCTGTTGTACAGAAGGCTTCTTCCTTCTCGTCTATAGTAATCGAACAATTATGCAATTTACGAGCTGCAATTACCATGTGAGAATAGTCCTGTGGATACATATACATGGAACCCAGTCAGAGTGGAACGAAACAAAAAAAATCAAATGCCGGAAAATGGACAAATCCAATCGGGTTGGTTCGGGCCAATGGAGTGGTCTGTTTGCAAAATGGATGCAGATGGTGCTCGTGAACTACGGTTGTCGATCTGCACGAGTACTCACACACACACACACACACACACTCGGGTTGTAGCGCATCTCTACCAAGCCACTTAATGACCACTGTGCGTAGAGAAGCCTTGTTTCTGGGTTTTTTCTCCCCTACCCGGGGTTGTAACAAAACCGCAATCGGTGTGACCCAGCAGGATATAATTGGCCATCACTGCGGTGTTGGCCTCGGGAGTGTGAAAACCCCCGGCCGGATATGGATATGCAAAATCGTTCTTCCACATCGCAGTCAACACCATCACAATTGACGGTTTCCGATTAACCTGATTTTTGTTTGTTTTTTTGGTTTACAAGCAGGACTTGCAGTGTGCCAGGTTTGACAGACTAAAGAAAGCTTAGCGAACGGGGTTTGGGGATGGAACCAGCGTTTCACTGAGTTCAACAAGGCGGTGGTATCTTTTGTGGACGAGAAATTTCCATCGCGTTTCGAGAATCGGTTTCCAAATAGATGACCGGGTGTTGTTAGCAACAAAAGACAGCATTGCGTTCAAATAATGTACAAACTTAACGAGTGATTCAATCAATTTATGACTTTACTGATGTGACAATTCATTATATACATATACACATATACATATACATAATAAGTAATATGTGAATAATTGGACGAAACTTCCCGGAAGCACACGATCGGTTTCGCGATTCTTGCCGCTCGTTAGGCATGCGTATCCGGGGTCAGTTCATTTATACGCTTGTAGCCAGGAAGTGTATTTTTCATCACAATAATCTTCTTTTGGACAGACAGCTCTTTCAGAGTCAGTTCATTGAAGAATCAGTGCTATGATTCTATGTTTTGTGGGTGGGTCAGATGTTACTAACTATTTCTTAATATATACAATATACATACATGTTATATATATATCTTTAATGGAACCATTCCAGTTAATCTGACATCCAGATGCTTTCATTTGATTGTAACATTTTCGTTCGAATTATCATTCAACTTATACGATCGAATGTTGTATATTATCAGCTTAGTTTGCAAACTTTGACCATAAAACATTTTCTAGAAATCATCAGGAACAAGCACAATATGATTCAATAAAACCCAACTGGTTAAGTCGAGTTATCGGTGAAATTATGGACTATTTTCTTTCTTATGAAGATTGCTGCACCGTGATTTGTTTCGCACGCATTCTGATACCTAGCTAAGTGGGAAATATAATATTATAATAATGATAATACTATAATCAACTTTTAAATTTTGATTTCGCCACAATATCTCCGCAGGTGGTTGTAAATCCGTGCCACTGGATGGCCAGGACTGCACGCGTCTCACGTGTCACAAGTCACTGGTCACGTGAGTAGAAACGCACTTCTCCTTCCCTGATCTCATCTTATTTTTCTTTCGCTCTCTTTTTGTTTGAAGTATCGAAATGGCTCGGTGGAAGTGTGGCAGCCGCGAGCAATTCGTTGAATGGTATCCAATTGGGCTGTGATCCACGGTATATCTACGCCCCAGATCTGATCAACCAGACCAAATCGGAATGGGGTGCAGGACACCGGAACTACGCGCTGGGTGGGTCCACAAGTTCACGTACCGGACGCACTATGTTAGGGACCGGTCAGTGTGCTCTGTACACCGGGGCATCGATGCAGTACACACCGGTGGATGCGTGTCTGACGCAGGAAGAAGGAGCCTGTCTGTCCGGATTCAGTGCAGACGTCGAAGCAGGTGAGGATAATCCGAGTTCATGGTTATCATTGTTGTTCAGTGCAACCTGCATATACTTTCATTTTTACAATTATATTTCAAAGTGTTCTTTTTTCGGTTTCATTTACCAGCTGGCGGTTAGCTGGTAGATTATGGTAACACCATTGGAATTCAAATTCATCGGTGAGACAATAAAGGAACCGAGTTGGAAGCAAGATCGCAGTGTCCGCGGTTCTTCTCTCCGGGACTCTAGGGACAATGCCCTAAAGGGACCGAGTAGAAAGCCTCCGGAAAACCATTACTCTAGTGCCAGTGCGAAGGCAATTTTATCATTCAGAAAGCAACTGTAAATGTGGAAAGGAAGAGGGCGAACGAAGCTTCACTCACTCCTCACTTCACTCACATGAATCGTTGGCCGCGTCCTCATGGACGATCACACGTTTAATCATCCCTTGCCAGTGATGGGTGATCATCCTGTCCATTCACAGCGCTAAATTTGCATAGCGTTTCATGTGCGAAATAGATAACAGATTGCTTGAACTGATGATAATGTATGGGAACAGCCCCAAAAACATTTTTAATTTCGCCAATGCCCCCCTCCATACACATCCGCCCCCCCCTCTTCCAGTCCCCTCGGTACCCCATGCGTTCTACCACGGCTACCAAGTCCAGTGTTCTTTCCACATGCCAGAAGAACAATCGGAAAACTGCAGTCTGTAGAACCGTAGATTGTGTCCAATCTATCCCCTTGTTAGAGAAAAAATTATCTACATAGTTTTATTATTTGCACAATGGTGTGAACAAGTGAACTAGCATTTTTAGGGTATGAAGCTTGTATTAGCCCATTCGATTGTTCAGAGGCACCAGAGGCACTCTTGATGGTCTTGGGTGTGGGTTTCACTCCTTAGGAGATCGTTAATTCCCCACGAGATAATGCATTCAAATGCGATGGAAATGTTTGTCGTAACCAACACAGAGCACTGGACAGTTGTTTCGTCCTGTTTGTGACTCTTCAGTAGTGCATACGTTTTGTGTCCCTGTCAGGACTCGAACCGCGATCAGTCGGGTCGGGACTTCAAACCCTTAACCCTGAGCGACACGGTCGACGATCATCACTAATCAATCAAGGTTTGAGTCCTGAGAGGGACATAAAATGTACGCACTGCTGACGAGTCACAAACCGGACGAAACAGCTGTCCAGTGCTCTTTGTCGGCTATCACAAACATTTGTACCGCAAGTGAACTAGTACTTTGTGTTTACTGACGATCACTAATGTGCCAGTCAGACTGTGCGAATTTCGGGACTCCACTGGTGATAAGTGTTTTGACGGATGATCGAAAAATTGAGCAACTAACTAGAGATGCTGGATAAGATTTCACCGGAAACATTTAGAAGAGCATCGAAATTCCGGACTGTACCATGAGATCATCAATTTTGCGCCGTTAAGGTAAGACAATATGACATTAAATGTGAATCGACTCTAGAGATTAGAGTTAGTTGAGTACAAGAATTTTCTCTCATTTTGGGCTCCAACAGTAATAACAACAACAAGATGATCTCAGCCTTTCTCATGTGACAAAAGTATGACACAATCTTCACCGGTTCGGAAACGAAGACACTTCAATAAAATCCTGTCATCGGTTGAATCACACTCGATTGGAATGGACATTAGTCAAGTTCCTGTCCGATTCTCGTGTTGTCCAAAACGATGCCATGTCGGAGCGCCCTGACAAGTTAAAGTTATCTGCAAATTGTCTCTCAGTCGCAATAGGCGGAATTTGTTACTAATTTAGTCCAACAAGCAATTCACGGCAGACCGGCAGTCAGAATGATACACCAGTACCATACAGCGGCACGTACGGCGGCGGGATGGGGGTGGGGGATCAAACCACACAAAAAACGTCCCCGTTGCATTGATGCAGCTATATTCCCCTCTCTCCCNGGGGGGGGGGGGGGGGGGGGGGGTTGGAGGCTTTGGTATTTTGTTCTGACCAATCGGAGTCATATTTATAAATAATACACGTACGGAAGAACTGAATGTGAGACAAAAGTTGTTGTATTTTCGTCCCAAACGTTGTGGGCTACAGGGTGTGTGTGTGTGTGTCTGGGGGTGGGGGGTGGGGCGGGGGCGTTGTTTCAGTTCCGTTCGAGAGCAGGTGAATGTTTGCCCGATGTATGAATATTTTCCGAATATGATGGGCGTACACTGGTATGTTTTTGGTTTGTGCGGTGGAAATAAAAATAAATGATCAATCTGATTAAATCTGGAGACAATGTTTTGTCTTAGTTTATGCGAAAGATTTTACAATAGCCATCCAACGATGCCGGTCAATCAGGGCCCGTTGCTTCGTTCGGTCTCAAATAATCCCTAAATTCTTTATGTTCTTCAAGGCACCGAGTTCGGAGAAGCTCTGGTCGCGTTAGGTATGCCTGGTAGCTACCTGACCGAAGGCAACGTGTTCCTGGGTCACTATCGTGGTCGCGAATTGCTCAATGCGGTCCGATTGAAGAGTTCCCCGGAAGATTTGAAACACGCCGGTTTCAATTTGGGCTACGCGGTCAATCTGGCCCATTTAGTTCGACGCAGACCGTCGGGGAACAATGCACACACAACCAGTTCCACCATTGGCGGGGCCAGTATTCTGACGTCTAGTTCGATGTGGATCGATAACGATTACCGAGGCATAGTGATGATTTTGGATCAAGCTATGGATCTGGATGGGGTGAGTATGTTTTTTGTTATGAAATACGGTTTGATGAATAACAAAATTGTGTGTGTCGAGGGGTGGCGGGGGCGATGCGCGAGTGATACACTCGCAGGGATCTACCCTGTGACCTTGAGGAAGAAATCCATGAATTAGGAAGTGCAACGCTTTCATCATTCTCGCTGGACACAGTACCATACAGTATTGGCAGATTGTGATACACTGAAACATTTTCTTTCTGATCCGACTGAGTTTCAATATATTTATCATCTGTATTATTGCTTTAGTTATGAATAACAATTTATCTCTTGTCTACCTCGATTTAAGTAGCTTCAAGGCTGCGTAATTGTCAATTAAACGAGCGTGACCTTGGTAGCCAAGAGTAAATAATCTCTACATGAAAATCACATACTTTACCATGTATGAAAACGCAATATATTCAAATAGAAGTGACTCAAGAATTATCCCAAGTGCATGGTGTTTGAGCCTTGGAAGGCTCATAAAAGGTCATTTATGGTGAAAATTTCCGAAAAGGGATAAATCATGGTCAGCCTCTTCGGTGGACATACATCAAAGGCACCATGAATAGTGAGAAGCTCGTATCAGTGATGACAAAAATGTTTCCAGAAATTCATGAAAAATAAGTCGTCTGGAAAGGTTATCGTTTTGCGGGATAAAGCTCCGTGTCGTGCTTCATGAGAGGTTAGTAAATGTATTTAGTTAATGAGTCTGGATCTCTTAGTTCCTTTTACACTTCAGAAAAGATGCAACTTCCCCCAAATCCCAATGGGATTGAAAATCTGTTCTCTGTTTTGAAGAGACAGGTTAATGTTCTAACTGTATATATGAACATTGGAGGCCAAAGTGCGATACGTAATGGAGCACAAAATAGCAAATGACTTCATAACAAAGTTGGTGGACCTGATGTCGAAGAGACTTGAGAAAGTCCTAAAGAACAAAGGCAAAACAATCGACTATTAGTGTACACAAACTTTACATCCTTATCATAAACCAGTGTTAATTTAAGTAAAATATTGTTTTACTGTCTGTAGTTGGCTCTCAACTCATCATGGTCTAGGTCAAACACTACTGACGAAGCATCCCCTACATTCTGAAACATTCCATCTATTGAGTATTAACGAATCAGGAAAATCACTGCTATAAAGGCTTATTATTATTATTTTATTAATTATTTCTTAGGGGAAAATATAATCCAGTATAAATCCTCGTGCTTATACGAACCCATATGTATTTCACCCATTGTTTCAGTTTCGATTGGACCTGTATGTGTTCCAAGATTGAGAAGAAACTATCGGGCACATTGAACAATTTCCTCGTCGTTTAAATCACTAACAATTGCAAAATGCCATGTTGATTAGATCTCCATTGGACAAAACAATATGAACTTTTCTAAAAACACTTAAGGGTATTGGTCAGTTTATTTGTGGAAGGGGGGATCAGCTCGTGCTTTATGGTAACAGTGGTTTGCTAAATCCCAAAACAACATCTCGTCCGTTTCGAGACATTTCCGTAATCTGTATGCAATGTCACATGACACATGTGGATTGGTGGACTGTGATGATGATGATAATGATGATGACGAGTGTCGTGAAACAGGATCGGGTATCACTGCGATGATTCATCCAACGTTCATGCGATGTCCTAAAATTAAATGCTGCGCCAAGTTCATTTTCGCACACACACACACACACACACAAACAAACAAACACCAGACAACACCTTGTGTGATTTATTCTCCCGTGTTCGTTTAATGTGGAGAAAGCTAATTACCTCGAAAAAAACGTAAAAGATTTGTTTAGTGATTTATTTTTCAAACATCAGGAAAAGGTGTACGGGGTTGGTTGTACCCCGTGTGAAACGAGACGTTTTCTCCCCCCTCCCCGCGGGTGGGGGTTGACTTGTCCACAAGCGATCTGTTAGTGAAGTCAGCCAACTCCATGAACTGGCGTCCTCAGTTCGTGCACACGTAAATTTCCACAAATTCGTTTAAATTTGCCCATTTAGAACTAGGCAACATTCACCGTTGACTCAGTAATGAGCATTGTCATCAAGCTGCGATGGTCGTTTCAAATTGGCTGATTTAAGTTTTCAAATTGAGTGGACGAGTTATACAAAATGTCGGTCCAAATGGTAATCGTTCTACTCGTATCTGGTCAAAACGCATGCACGATCAATTATGAATATTTTGTTCTGAATCGTTTGGAAAGTCCTTGCACGTGTCTGTGATAGTTAATTGTTGGTGTGGATATGAATCTTTCTTTCTCAGCAGATATCGCTGAACGATGCCTCATGTTTTACCGATGTGCCATTCCAGAGGACTAGGGTATTTTTCATCGAGAATTATCTGTGGAGGTTTCGGGGACTGCTTGTGAACGAACTCAAACGGCTTTCCTATACAGACACATAAAACATACAATCTCTAGTTTTAGGTGCCAGATGAAAGCAGCATGATAGCACTGGCTGTTTGTTCACATGTAGTTTGTCCGAACTAGCCGAACAGGATGCTGTTGAAAATCCCTGTAGGTCAGTTAGAATTCGATCTTACACAGGTTCGGTAAGTTATGTAGGACAAACGATGAGACAGTTCGCACAAAAGGATCAGTGAACGTAAACCGGCTTGAATTAGCACGGTTTGCAAGAAAACAATAACCAGTGCGATTGTGGCCCACCTTGCTGATACCGGGCACCAGCCAGACAACAAGGCATTTAAAGTCATTTGCGAAATGCCCCAAGCAATTCGAAGTCTGATCGGAAACGTCACTTGGCAACGGCAGAAGCTGTCGCAATCAAAGCGATGAACCCACCACTGTGCAAACGGAAGAAACCGGTTGCCGTACCCCAGCTGCCTTGGCCCTAACCTACGTGATGATCCGAACCGTGACTTCAGTCAAGTCCGGATGACGCGACATGGCGTGACAAGTTGCACGTGAAAAAGGTTATCGGAAATTTCAAGAATTGACCTTGATTCCCCCTTCACCCCTTGCCCCAATTTTCTCCACTAGCTCTGAGTCAACTTGACAGATATCGCTGTATTTTCACACTTAACCTTAATGGGCCAATCACATATTTCTACATTGAATATAAACACACACACACATATGTAAATATAAATGCCTGAAGACGAAGTTACGAAAACAACCTTGTTCGCTATGTTTTGTCTTTTGATCTTCTTATGGGATTCTCCCATGAATGGGGAATATCAGGCAGTGGTAGTAGTGGGATTGGAACACGCGTCCTCTGAGAGTGATCTGACGGGGCTACCACTCGATTATACATATATCAACGACGTTATTTGGGAGATTAAAATGGTCGTAGATGAATGATGGAACATGGCAACTCAATGAGGTCGATGGAGATGTATCAATTACAAATTTCCGCAGTAATTAGGACCTACGTACAGAGACATATGGGTTCTCTGTTGTGATTGGGAAAAGTTCAGTAGCCTCGGTGGGACATACACTGAACTTTTCACGATCCCAACATTAAATTTCAACATACCAAACAACCATTTCGGCATACAGGGTTCGATCGATTTGTATACAAGCCACTGGCCACATGGTTATTTGTGCAGCAAAATTCAAAGAATAAAATGGTAGTTCAAAAACATACTTTTTCAGTATCAAAATCAAGTGGTACGGACTTTTTGGGATGTGTGTAATTTACACGTCACAAAGGAACGAAACCCGTTTTTTACTAACCCACACCTCGCATCAGTTTTTCCAATGGCAGATTTGGATCCAGTAATAGAAAGCACTGATAATCAACACATCGAAAACAAAGTGCAACCGCCGTAAACTATTGTAACCTTTGCCTATTTTTCGCAAAACGTTGGCACATCACTCTATTCGAACAGGATGTCAGAAGCTAAATGGCCCCATACTTCTGTTCCCATATTGCTCTCCATATCGCACACCTAACAAGGCCCTTATACGTATTGGCCTCCTTCTAACTCCGGTTGTAGTGATTTTTCTCCAATGTGTTTGTTGTTACCCAAGCAGTCACACAGACACACACACACACGCACACAGGGATGAATCACCGAATGCGAATACGGGGCAGTAGGTGTACCGAACAATACATGGTCGGTGATCAATCAATCAATGTCTGTTTCAGCACCTGATAATTTACGCGCGTCCCGTGTGTCCCCGTAGAAATTGGTGAGTGACTGCATGATGCAGTTGTCATTCTGAGAAACACATTATCACTTGATTTGTGTCGTACGCGAGTCCATTCTCTCCCATATTTTCGAAAGGCGACCGCTTGAGATTTGGGCCGTTTAGTAAGTTTGAGATTTCAAACTACACAGCGGAGTTCTGATAGTTGATTTATGGTTACGTTTCATAGTTTTAGACAATCACACACACACACAGACACACTCGAGCGAAGTCACCTTTGCGGAAATTTGAGATCTTTCCGATAGAAATCAGCATCCCCGGCTTAGCGGTCAAGTTGGTAGCACAGTCTCCAGATCAGACATTTTCCATACCCTGTCTATCAGCTCAAAACAAATACCGAAGCAATAACCAGAGTAATGACCAACCAGAGAGGAAGAAGAGGCTGAGGGACTGAGACCGGGAAAACCCTTGGGACCTAAATAAGAATCCGTAAAGCAATGGTTTTACAATCGGTATTTTTTCAATTTAAAATTCAGAGGCAATTGAACAGGATCAATGCACAGTGGTTTAAGGAAGATGAAGAACTGGAAAGGCTCAGTGCTACCGATAACCTTTGAATATGTGAAGTTCGAATAGATTATCTATATATTACCAAACCAGTCGAGCTGGGCCATCATTATACCTTAGAATGACATGAACCAATAAAGATATTGCCAAGAAATTGCTAATTAATTGTTAGGAAGTAGCCGTTACTTTCTGAGAGAAAAAGAGTATAACAGGAAGAGTTTGGGGCTCCCTAATTGTAAGATGATCAGCAAAAGATTATATAGCGTAGTTTGGCTTCCTCAGTTAGACAGACGGACATTTCATGTGAGTAATGGGGGACATGATTCAATTTTCAAGGGGAAATTCGTCGTGTATATCGCAAGTGAAGCATGAATTGTAAAGCTCGTAAGCACTGCAAAGCTGTTTCGACCTGGCTGGGTCTCGTCAGTGCAGTGCGAATCCATCGACCCAACT